CATGTAAAATTCATTTATCATAAATACTACATTTCAAAACAGTGTGCAAACAGTACAGTGGATATTATTTTTGTAGTGTTATGATACAGTTACGTAGTCAAAAAAGTTAGTTACAAAAAAGTAGGCAAAATATCAAGAAGGAGAATTTTTTTATATATATATTTCAGTGTCTGCTGAAGTGAAACAGGGAGTTTCTTTCCACTTTTATTGTTTTTGGATTAAGGTTCTGCAAAAAGAAGCTCGTTAGCCAAGCGGAATGTGTGATACTGATATACTGATTCAGGTAGGTGCTATAAAACTATTACAGAATTGCTGTTAATAGAACAGAGAGAAAGTCGTGATCCTGTTTTAACTTTGGTTAAGGACATGTGCACCTTGGAATCAGCTACCTATTAGTGTCTGCAAAGATGAAAACATCTCTGTATGTTTATAAATAATATATAAACACTTTTTTTTTTTTTTTTTTAGAGAGAGAAAGTGTATGGCAACTGGAGAGAGGAAGATAATATCAGAAAAAAAACACCCAAACATTTATCTCTGATTCTAAGTATAGATATAGATCCTTAAATTTATACTTTAAGAACTGTGACCGATGTTTCAAAGTGCCTAAACTCTAGAAATATTTCGGTGATCTTTGCTTAGCTCAGTGTTAACTGGTTCATACCAAAATTAAATGCAAGAAATAAATATTTTTGCTGGGTAACTTATATTACTTGAGTTTAGTATTATCATAAAATTACAGAATCTTCGAGTTAGAAAGTCATCTAATCCAACACCCTTGAAATGAATATGAACAAGTTGCTCAGAGCCTGGGCCAGCCTGATCTTGAATGTCTCCAAGGACAGGTGATCCATCCACCACCTCTCTGGGTGATTTCTTTCAGTGCCTCACCACCTTCATAGTAAAAAAAAACTTCTTTGTATCTAATGTGAATTTATCCTTTTATATTTTAAAACCATTTACATTTGTCCTATCGCAACAGACCTTGCTGAAGAGTCTGTCCTCTTCTCCTTACAGCCCTCCTTCAGATACTGAAAGGCTACTATCACATCTCCCCAGAGCCTTCTCTTTTCCAGTCTGAACAGTCCCAGCTCTTTCAGCCTGTCCTCACAGGGGAGGTATTCCATTTCTGCTCATGCTCTAACCGATCCATGCCTCTCCTGTACTCCAGAACTCCACGTCAGGATGGAGTACTCCAGATGTGGTCTCACCAATGCAGAGCAGAGGGGCAGGATCATCTACCTTGACCTGCTGACCACCATTCTTTTGGTGCAGTCCAGCACAGGAGTGACTTTCTGGGCTGTGAGGGTACACACTGCTAGTTCATGTCCACTTGCTATTGACTAGTATCCCTATGCCCACTGTGGCAGGGCTGTTCTCTGTCCTTATATCCTTCAACTTGCACTGATACAAGGGGTTGGTTGCCATTACCCATGTGCAGTACCTCGCACTTGGATTTTTTGAACCTCATGAGGTTCTCCTTGTCCCACTGACAAAGGCTGTCTAAGTCTCTCTGAGTGGCATCCCATCCCTCAGTCATCTTGACCCTATCACATAGCTTGTTGTCATCCACAAACTTGATGAGAATGTACTTGATCCCACTGTCAATGTCACTGCTGAAGATATTAAAGAGCATTGGTTCCAGTACTGACCCCTGAGGAGCACCACTTGTTACTTTCTCTAGCCAGACATTGAGCCAATGACCACCACTCTCAAGGTATGACTAGACTAAACTTTGTTCATCAGTCCACCTTTCAAATCCACACATTTTGAATTTGAAAAGAAGGATATGATGGGGACGATGTCGAAGTCTCTACTGACATTAAGATAGATGACATCAAGCATTTTCCTCATCCGCTGATGTAGTTATGCCATCATGAAATCCACTAATTAGCTTCTCAAAATTAGTTCTTATTTGTAACGCTGAACATTATAAATTGTATTTTCTTTACATAGCAGTATCTAATAGCTTTTACCTGAAATGAGCTTGTTTCTGAAGAAACAAAAATTGGATTCGCTATTTTTGAACATTTTATATTTTTTCTTTGTCAAATCCTAACCATTTTAAATGCATAGGTTTTCTTCAGTTTTGTTTCTTTTGTGGGGTAATTTGATAAATTAACGCGTATTTTGTAAAGCAAACAAGTGTCTGGCAGTTAGTACATAGCATGATAACAGAATTGCTCTTTGATTTGCGTAGTAGTGTTCCTGTTAAAAATTCTGTTTGCCAGTCTTTGAGATTAAATTCTTTTATATAGAATGAGTGTGTTAAGTCAAATGATGTGAATCTGCCTAAACCACTTTCTTCTTGTATCAAGCAGTCTCAGAATTCTATAATAATCCTTCCTTCCTAAAACTTTGGAATTGCTTTTTAGACGCAGTCTTTGTTTCTGTGTTTAATTGTTACAATATCAATATGTCTTATGTACTTTGATACATTCAATAAAGTGCACTAGCACAGCAAAATATCATGGCTCAGTATTAACTGATTCATAGCAAGCAAAGAAATATATTTCCAAGAATAAATAAGAATTGTAATTTTTTTTTTTAAATTGTCAGCAATACCTGTCTAAAAATTAAGCAGCTAATCAGCAGTATTTAACCTGTAGGAAAAAAAAAATTACTGTGCTTTGACTAATTATAGAAATATTTATAAGGCCCCATCCATACAGAATTCAGAGATTTACAGTGCTTTCCTTCACACACACAACAGTCTGGCTGAAGTTTTGGCCCTGAAAGCATTGCCCCAGCATCTTTACATTAAGATCTGCAGCAGTGAACTATGGCATCAAGTTAATTACAGGTGACAGAATTTATTGTGCTATCGTGTACCAATAAAAAATCTCAGTTGTCACATTCTTCCAGATAAAGATTTTTCGCATGCTTTGAACCATTAGGACAAGGTGATCCAGTGGTCCTGAGGACAATAATAGCATGCATTACTGAGGGATATTTAAAAAGGTGTATGTCATTAAAACTTGCTTACAACGTGCAATTGAACTTCAGTGCTATTTTCTACTCGGAACTTCACAGTCTGATGAAAAACTAACTACCAAATAGGATTATTATGTTTCTAACATATCTAATGAACAAACAGCTTTCTTTCAAACAGCCAACACAGAAGATTGTTTTTACGTGTTATTACTCTGAGTTACATTACCCAGTTAAAAATACCCCATATGTAAGGGAATCTACTTCTCTGAACACAGAAAATAGGCAGTTATAGAAATTCAAACAACAAAATGTTCCCTTGTGTTACATAAGAAGACTGGAGAAACCAGCAGACCATTTAGCAAAAATAAAAGTGTACTCACTGTACTGAATGTGAACTTGGTGGAAGCTTTTTTCTTAGCGTAAAACCAGCCAGCATTCCTTCACCCATCAACTATTTTGAACATGCACTGGAAATCAAGGGTTGGCAATGAAGATAAACACGTCATTTTTCTACAAGGGAGGCATTACAAAGAAGTTGTTCTTACATGGTAAATAATAGAAACTCACTGAAGAGTGGGATGAAATAATGCAGTTCTTCCCGTACTTTGCTGCGCGGGTGAATACGGACATGAATCTGCCAGTCTTATTTCTAACTTCTGAAGAAAACACAATGGCTCAGCTGTGAAAAATTTCCTGGACTGTCAAGTAACTGGAAGGAAAGAAAAAAAAATCAACAATGAAGACTGATAATGCTCTGCTTTACCTAACATAGTAATTATAACCTCACGTGCTGTTTTATCCCCTCACAATTACTTGACCCTGTGCAAATGTTTCAATATATTGATATTACAATGAAAAACAAGTAGACAAAAGCGTGGTTTTATGAACACGCCTCTTTCAGAAGCCCTATTTATTAGTATGCCAGTTTCAAATTCAGCGTTAACATATATTAAGCTAGGAAGAGTGTCACTCTCATGTTAATATCTAGTAGTCATTGTAATTATGAAAAAACAATTAGATATGTGTTGCATCACCTTGATTGAATATCTCTGTGATGCATCTCTAGTTTACATCTACTGACCTCCTGATCCTCCGGGAGATTAGCAAAAATGAACCAAGTAAAACAAGACTTCTCACCTGTGGTTTGGTTTCCAAATGATATTCAACACCCAGCGTGTACATCTTCTGTTATCCTGGTCTATATTTGTGCTGTCTGTTTTCATGTCACATCACCAAAATCTTTTCTCCTTAGGCTTGTTTTGAAGTGTTAAAGATGACGTCTCAGCCAGATGGAGAGCCAGCTCCAGGTACAAGAGGTGTACCAGCAGAACCAGGAGTTACCAGGGTAGGAAAGTACAGGATGGCATCCCTTTTTGGTGCTGTCTGCCACACTGTGGGGTCAGCTTACAGCTCCCCAGGGAGAAATGCGCGTCATCTCCTCGCACAGCAATTAAAGACCGCTGTGACATTATTTTAGGATTTGGCGTCCTCAGTGGGTGAACCCAGCATCTGCCTGTATGGCACCATGAGGCCTTTTGGCTCAAACATCAATCCCAAACCCCACAGAAACAGGGAGGCTGCAGCGTGTGTCCTTTGTGCAGCCCCTGTGCTTGAGTCAGAGATCGCTGACGTATGGCAGTGCCCCATTTCTGCTGCGGTACGACGCGGGATTGCTGAAGTCGCTGCAGATTTGGGGAAAAGACAGATCATCTCCAGAAAGCACTCCCCATACAACTTGCCCATATGCGTGGGGCACAAGCCCCATGTTGGGGGCAATGACTCACACCCCCCTGTCACAGCCGTGCGCCGAGGGCACCGTCACCCCCCTGTGCACAGCCATCAACCTGTCCCAGGACTCCATGCACCCCACAGGCATCCCTGCCCCCGTCCTCAATCCCATGGTGACATCAGCATGGACTGAATTGGGGCAGGGGATGTGGGGGGACTTGAGACATGAGGGGATGTGTGGGGACACAGGGACATGTGAGGACATGGGGGGACATGGGGTGGAGGTGTGGGGTCAGAACTGCAGAGGTGAGATGAGGTGACACGTAGAGGTGACAAAGGGAGGTTGCAGGCCGTGCCAGGAGGTGCCGGTGCCATTTGAGCAGCACTGCAGGGCAGATGAGCAGCACCAGCCCAACCTGGGGGTGATGGTGACACTGCAGGATGTGGAGATGCTATTGGTTTTCAAGCAGGAGTTCATTATCTATACATAATACTGCACTTGTTTTTTGTTTGTTTTTTTTTTTAAGTCAGTGATAGTATGCAGCCTGATCCCATGCCTTTGAAAAGTGCAGTTTAAGGATCATCAGCTGAGAACAGCAGCAGAACATGGGGTTGTCACAGGGGGAAGGCACAGGGAAGGAAGTGAGGAAAGAAAGGAGAAAGCCTGAAAAAGAAATGGGGAAGGCACAGGGCGAAGGAAAGGGCAAGACATAGGGGAAGGAGGGGGAAAAGGACAGAATAGCTGTAGAGCAGTCTAAAAAGCAGCAAGAAGCTCTGGGAGGACTGTCAAGTGTCAGATTCTGTATCAGGTGTGTATCTGTGTGCATATGTTGCCATTACCTGCTTTGGTCAGGGTTCTTGTCAGTTCTGAGCTCCTGCAGTGGGAAGAGCTCGAGCAACTGGTGCAGTCGCTGCAGACCTGTGCGATGGGGGAGTGCTTGATAAGGACAGCCCTGCAGCCCTCAGCTGGACAAATTTGCTCCGTGTGCCCAGACTGTGAGCTGTACAGTGCCCGGCCGCACTGCTCCAGCTCAGAGCCCGCTGCCTGCAGCTGCATCTTTGCTTCCTTCCCTCCTGCCCAGAGCCTTGAGGGTGCTCCCACAGTCCCCTGCCCACCCCCAAAACGTCTGAGAAGACAGCTGGCAGTGAGCTGCAGGAATCCCAGCACCCTGTTTTCCTTCTGCCTGCAGCTCTCTCCTCCTCTGCCACACAGGGCTCCAGCCTGCAAAATGCAAATGGTCGGGGGGAAAGGGAGTGCTGGCACGAGCGACTGCTGCATCTGGCCAGGGAGGGTCTGCGTACCCCATGCCCTTCTGGGCTATCTGTCCAGCTGCAGGAAGACCAGGGTAGGGCAGCTGAGAAGCTGCCCCCATCAGAGGGGGGAACAAGCTGTCCTTCCACAGAGACATTCCTCTCACAGCCAGATGCACCCACACAACTCTCAGGCCATCTTGCCAATGGCAGCTGTGACACATCAATTCTTTCTAGGCAGGTGAATTAATTTTTTCCATCTGTAAACTTAGGGGGAGAACTGCAGTTTTTGGTAATCTTTGTAGGAACACTGTCATGGTCCACACAGAACTCAAAACTGCAGCTCTGTGCTAGATCTGGCTGCTTAGACTTGCTAGGACCTAAAACTTCCCATTTTATGGCATGACAAGAACAAAAAGCCAAAAATGAAACCCGCAGGGAAAGAAAGGCTTTTGAAGAAAAATATGTGGAAGTATAAACAAGACAGAGGCTGAGTGAACATTCATACGGCCCTGCACTTTCTGCCAATGGGCTCTAATCCCATTATCGTTAAATTTGCTGGGCAGTTGCATTTTGGTATTTCAACATTTAGAAACAATGCAACAGACGCTGGCAAAAAGAAAGAAGAAAAAAAGAAAAAAAACTCTTTTTTTTTTTTTTTAAAAGCTATTTATATGCACTTGGCACAGCTCTCCTGGATTTGGAGTAGTTTCCCTCTTTCTTCTTCGTTTTTCCCCCCACAACCCCTCCACTTCTAACTTCGAGCTCCTCTCCCGTCCTCACAGCACACACACCGGATCGCCAGGCACTGCGCCGCCGCTCCCCCAGTCCTGTTGGAAAAGTTCTTTCCGCGGTCTCTGCTGCCACCTCCTGGCCCATGCGCGGAACGGCCGCTGCGTCCCGCAAGCACCACAACGCATGCGCGTACAAAATGCGGAAGTGCCGTTCTAACCGCTCTACTCAGCTAATCCACCACCTCTCTATGGTTATCAGTCCTCCAGGTAATAGCGAACAGAGCGGCGAACAGCCCCGGCCCGGCAGGTTATTTCGCATGATTAATTTCGAGTACTCACCTACGTGTGCGTTGTTTTCGACTCCTCATTACGCGTGCGAGGGGCGCAGGGGCCGCTAGGAGTCAGAATAGTCTGTTCCCGAGGCAGGCTCCAGGAATCGACTGCTCGCCTGCACCTCGAGGCTTTGTAGATTGGAATGCTAGCTATGAGTGTCCTGGCGCATGCGCTCTGTTGCCTCGAGGACTAACCATAACAAGGCTTGGCGGATTTGCTGCGCAGAGCGAGGAACACCACCGCCGCGGCGCCAAACAAACACGGCCGCAATTCCACCTATTGGCCACGAGGGGGCACCGGAGACCGCGGAAACAACAACGGCTGGCTCGACGCGCAGCTGCGCCACAGCTTCTGGCACTCTTCTCCTGGGGAAAAAAAAAAAAATCCACTGTTAGATTTTTAGCAAATAAACAAGTATATATGATTACAGAGAGGGAAAAAAAAGGATTTTTGGAACTGTGTCTAAGTTTGAATAAAATGCTTTTATGTGTTTACAGAATTATTCTAAAGGATGATTGTTGATCTGCTGAAGCCTTCTTGATTCTACATTTTTCTCAGTTTGAATTATAAAAACTGTAATTGTGTATTCTGAACCTAGAAGAGAAAATCTAGAAGGCTATTCTGATTTTTTCTAACCATCTGTTGAAAAATGTCATGAGCGCTTGTTTATCTGCACTTCTGTAAGTTCTCAACATTGATTGTATTTTATTTTCTGTATCTAATTACTCTTCAGAATGATATGTTTATACTACTGGAAAACTTCTATTTTAGAGTGGAATTATGCATACAGTATTCATATGGATCTGATCAGAACTGAATAATGCAGATATTTTTATAAGTACATCTTTTGAAGGGAAAAAAGTGTCATAATATATTTAAAAACCCACCACCTTTCAGGAAATAACAATAGCATCTTTTGTGAGCTGGAAGTTCAATATGAATATTCATTAAAAATAATGATGATATCCTGACTGTCTTGTGGGAATATTACTGTAGCATCAGAAATTCCTCCTGAATTCTTCAACTGAGTTTATGCTGCCATATTTATTCTAAAATTCTGGAGATCTTGTGAAGGCAAGATGCAAGTGAGATTTCCAGTATATGCAGAACTGCATCCCAGCCTTATATATGGTAAGTGCAACATTTGCTATGTTGAATTATTATTGTTATTATTATAATAATTACTGTTGTTGTTGTTGTCATTGTTACTGTTATTATTGTTAGGTTGCTTGTTTTAGCAAAGACATAAAGTGAAACAGGTAAGTAAGACAGGGATCTCCTGGAAGGAGTCCAGTGGAGGGCCATAACGGTGATAAAAGGCTTGAAGCACCTTCCTTATGAGGAAAGGTTGAGCGACCTAGGGCTGTTCAGCCTTGAGAAAAAAAGACTCAGAGGGGATCTGGTCAGTGCCTATAAATATCTAAGGTGAGGAAAGCAAACAGACAAGGCTAGGCTCTTTTCAACAGTGCTTGGTGATAAAACAAGGGGAGATGGCCACAAACTGAAGCACAGGATGTTCCACACACATGTGCATAAGAACTTCTTGACAGTAAGGGTAACGGAGCACTGGAACAGGCTGCCCAGAGAGTCTGTGGAGTCTCCTTCTCTGGAAATGTCAAGACACACCTTGATGCCTAGCTGTGCAACCTGGTCAAGGGAGCATGCTTTGGTAGGGAAGTTGGACTAGATGATCTCTAGAGGTTCCTTCCAGACCCTGCAGTTCTGTGACTCTGTGAAATACGTGAGTTGGAGTTACGATAACGGAAGGAGTTAGTGTTAGTTTTCTTAAGATCAAATACAGAAATAAAGGGAGGTTGAGAACATCATTTTCCTAATATTAATTTTCTCTGTTTAAAGGAATGGTAAATGTATATGCAAATGTTCTTCTACTGAGTCTTTGCTGAACATTTGAGCTACTTAATACAAGTGCTGAATTCGGTTTCTTCTTCACAGAAACTTTCCATATACTGACATATAAGAATGCATTACTCAGTGTAACAGGTACAGTAGTCGTTGTATAACTCTTCACTTGAATTAGTAGAGCTTGCTCAGATTCAATGATTACTTGATATTTAGCTAGCTTAAACAGAACTGAGATCACAGGAAAAAAGAGAGCATGAAGAAGTCATCAGAATTATCTAGCTGTGATTAGAAAAGATACTTGCTTACATTCCTGAAGCCATCCCCTCATTCTCATGTTTACTGTCACTCTTTGTTTTTTAATGTTTCTTTGAACAGTATTGAAATGAATGGAAGTCCAAGTCCAGTTTTAACGCTTCACAAGACGTGTTGTTTTGTATGCATCATGTATTATATATGTATTAAATTTCTCCAAGCTTGCCTGAAGATTTACTAACTGTACTTTGAGGCACATTTTGTATCACAGCAATTTAAAAAAATAAATTAAATAGAAATTGTCTGTTATGCTGTATTAGTGGATGTAGAAATATGAGTTCATACCTTTCATTGAACTGTTTTAAAAGCCTACTTCCATTATTCAGGGGACAAATGGCCACTTAAGTTCTACCAAGATCATTCTACCATCCAATGTTCAACCTGCATGAAGTCTAATTATGCATGCAGCTAGAGAAATGTGAAAAAGCTGAAGCACAGATCTTCTACATAACCTACTTTGCAGTATTTACAATAACATGGACTAAAACGTTAGATTGGTACTCATGTAAAGTTTAATGTTTATCGTAGTGTCTCTGCCCTTGACAGTAGCTAAGTAAGCCCATACATCTATTATTTTTCTTTCATGCTGCCCATGTGTCCGGCCTCTGTGCCCATCAGCAGTAATGGTCCTCAGTGCAATTACTGTAATTCAAAGGCATTAACCAGAAATTAAATGCATATTAGTTATATAGTACGAAATTATGTTAGCTGATGTGTTAACGGCTGCAAACCACAATCTCAATAGCATTTTACAAGTACCAGTGTGACAGATAAGAAACATAAGAATAGGTCTTTAGAAATATTGTGCCTGAAAACAATTCTGAAAGCACACTGATATTTTGAAAGCATTGTTGGCTATCTGTCATCATGGTCTATCAGTAACTGACTGTCCTCAAATTCCAGACAGCTTGTCTAATCATCTCCTGGTTTACTTACAGATGTCAAATGCTCACCATTCCTGATACAAGCCATTGGCTTTCTTGGCTACCTGGGCACACTGCTGGCTCATATTCAGCCAACACCAAGGTCCCTTTCTGTCAGGCGGCTTTCCAGCCACTCCTCCCTAAGCCTGCAGTCGCCTGGGGTTGTTGTGACCAAAATGTGACACTTGATTCTATTGAAACTCATGCAGTTTACCTTGGCTCATCGATTCAGGTCCCCCTGTAATGCCTTTCCTCCCTCTGGCAGAACAACACTCCCTACCAACTTGGTGTCATCGGCAAACTTACTGAGGGTAAGTCATCTCATCCCCTCATCAAGATCATTAATCAGGATGTTAAATAGAAGCGGACCTGGAACAGAGCCCTGGGGGACAATGCTCGTGACTGGCCTCCAACTGGATTTAACTCCACTGACCACAACTCTTTGAGTTTGGCCATCCAGCCAATGTTTCATCCAGCGGAGCGAATGCCCATCCAAACCATGGGCAGCCAGCTTCTCCACGAGGATGCTGTGGGGGGCAGTGTCAAAGACTTGACTGAAGACCACATCAACAGCCTTACCTTCATCCACTAAGCAGGTCACCCTGTCATAGAACGAAATCAGGTTTGTCAGACAGGATCTTCCATTCACAGACCCATAGTGTCTGGGCCTGATCCCGTGGCTGACCTTTAATTGATCCATGGTGGCTCCCAAGATTATCCGTTTCACGACCTTCCATGGCACCAAGGGGAGACTGATAGGTCTGTAGCTACCAGAATAATCTTCCTGGCCCTTTCTGAAGATGGTCTTCATATCTGCCAGTCTCCAGTCCACCCGGACATTCCCAGTTAGCCAGGACTGTTGAAGGATGATGGATGTGGTTGCCAAACCACACTCCATCATCCTTCAACAGTCC